GTTAATGTCTGAGATGATGGAGTGGCATGGTAGTTTGGACATTTGGGACATCTTTGACCTCCGCCTCATGGGGACCAGCCTCGTGCTGATCTTTCTAAGAGAAATTGTTCAAGTACTTACTTTTTTGCTTACCAATTAGAGTAATCAAGAAACAAAACAAAACCCACTGCCATGGAGTTGATTCCAACTCATAGTGACCCTTTAGAAAGAGTAGAACTTCCCCAGACAACTTCCAAGGCTGTAAATCTTTACAGAAGCAGATTTCCTCATCTTTCTCACACAGAGCCACTGGTGGGTTAGAGCTACCAACCTTTTAGTTAGCAGTGGAATTCTCTATTCACTGTGCCAATAGAGCTCCAATTCTGTTACCATAATGAGGAAAATAAAGAGGAGTGCATGGGGGAAACATTGAGGACAGAAAGACAAAAAAGATTATTTAAGGAAGTAAATTTTTAAAATTGATATTGACATATCTTTATACACTTTGCGAGTAAGGTTTATATATATTAAATCCTTATTCCAAAAGAAGAGCTAATGTTTCATAATCAAATATAGCCACATATTCATCACCATAAATATTTTAATTGATTAGCCTCTTTCTTGCCACTCTGTCAGGTAGAAATCTTGTATTATATGAATGCTCCAATGTCTGTTATCTCCTCTATTACAGATAAAACTCCACTTACTGCTGTCGAGTAGGATCTGACTCATAGTGACCCCTCGTTGGGTTTCTGAGGCAGTATCACTATGGAAGTAGATTGCTCAACCTTCCTTCCAAGGAGTGGCTCATGGGTTTGACCTGCCAACCTTCTGGTTAGCAGTCAAATGCCTTAAGCACTATGCCATTAGAGCTCCTCTATTATAGACACACAACATATGTTTTTGTAAATAAATTTGTTGTTGTTGTTGTTGTTGTTGTTATGTGCCGTCGAATCGGCCCCGACTCATAGCGACCCCTCCTTAGGTTTCCGAGGCAGTATCACTACGGAAGTAGGATTGCCCAACCTTCCTTTCGAGAAGTAAATAAATACCATACACTAAACAACACATTAAAAAGCTAGGAATAAAATAAATAAAGCTTTAAATAAAGTAGGTATTTATTTTGGACAATGAGAATCTATATACTCAAACTTACCACTTTATCACTATATTCTAGATCATTGCAAGTTAAGACAAGAATACATTTGTTACTATATTAAATATTTGTATCCGTTTTATCCATTAGGACCATGCTTCATGATCCATAATATCTATATTGTGAACTCACCAACTTTTAACATTTACCTTTAATTGTACAAGCACTGGTGTGCTGCATACTCCTGGAGGATAATTTAAGGATATCCGGGAATCCATGCTTGGCTTAAGAGTAAGGCCTTTCTTTGTAATTGTGAAAGATTCTCTCTTTAAACAAGACACAACAGAAAAGATGCCCAACTTGTAAACTTTCACCTCAGCACAGGTTCCCTGCATGGATTAAAGAGCATTAAACAAGCTACAGTACTGTTTTGGGCAGTACATGTTTTACATACTCTGTGGACGGTAGAAAAGTATGTATTTGCTGTCCCTGTATTCTCCCACCATTTGAAATGATTCCATTAACGTAGAATGGACAGTCCTTCCATGAGATTAAGGTGGTGTTTCTCTCTGCTGTCTAGTCGATGCTGACTCACAGTGACCTCATGCACAACACAACAAAATGCTGCCTGGTGCTATGCCATCCCCATGATCAGCTGTGGATCAAACTACTGTGACTCACAGGGTTTTCAGTGTTTTTCAGAAGTGGATCTCCAGCTTTTGCTCTCTAGTCTGTTTTAGTCTGTAAACTCCACTGAAACCAGTTCAACATCACAGCATCTGACCAGCCTCCACGGACATAGGAGTGGTTGGTATGTTTGAGGTGAATTGGTGAATTGGCTGGAAATCTGAACCTGGGTCTTTCACGTAGAAGGTAAGAATTCTACTACTGAACCACCACTACCCCTAAGGTTAAGGTAGAATTAGATAGTTAGGTGTTTCTCAAATTTGTCCTATATAATAGAAGAGAGGAAAATAAGTGTATTTCTAGATTTACATTGAATTCCAAAATTTATTTGTATACTGGATAATTATGTTCCGTGTTTTCACAAATATGAATTGCTTCTTGACTCTTAACCTCCTTTAGAGAGAATGGACTTTAAATTTCTTGATCCAGGATAATAGATAACACTGCTTCAGGGAATTTCAAGTACTGAAATTTTGTCGTTTGGGTAATATACTCAAATGCCATAGCTCCAATACTGTCAGCAAAATTTTCCTTCTGAAAATCTACAATCTCTTTGGGTACATACTGAAGAAAAGCCAATTTCTCTATTTCTATCCTCTATGGAGTGGGAGCGATTACTGCAGAGAGACATATTTGCATTTCTTTTTATATCATGACATTTAAATTTGTAATGCATATATGCAGGCATGTATTCAAGCTTCTTTATCACACAAAAGAGAGCTGAGTACATAAATGAAAACAAAATGATCTACATATATAATCACCAAAGCTTAAAATGAGGAGGAAGATTTAGAAGTAATTTGATCTATTCATGCTTCCCCAAACACCAGCCTGGCTCCACCCCAGCATGAGTGGATAATCATGTACACACACAAATATTTCAGGGACAATCACATGGAAGAGAATCTCTCAACTGAAAGCTGACGAAGGGAGAGATTTCACAACATCACTGCATCAGTCTATTGGGAAAATTCAGGGCATGATGATATTCTGATTTGGCTGCAGGGAAATGGTGAGAGGCAAGAAAGGAAGGTCATCTGGGAAGGGCTAAAAGCTAAAGCATTTAGACCCCATTTAGCAAGTGCTGGGGAGCCCAGAAGGGTTTTTCCGCAGGGGAGAAAAATAGAACTCTGATGATGACTTTTCTGACTCCAGAATGAGAATTCTTAAATGTGAGATGACCTATATAAAAATTTGGGGAAGGAATTCAGACTTCAGAATATCTTAAAATAGGGCTAACTACCATTAGATTACCAAAGTAAAGAGAAAAATAAAAGCCTTTACTTTTTACTGTAGACAGTGGTTCCCTTATTTTCCCTTTGCTTTGGTTATCCATTTATGTATTTACTAAACATTTGAGTATCCATTTTACAAAAGGCAGATGTGCTATGAACAGTTTTTGCTTTTATGCTGACAATCAGAAGGACTAGCCAAGGAGCTCTGGTAGCATAGTGCCTAAGGCACTTGACTGCTAACCAGAAGGCTGGCGGTTCAAACCCACCAGCTAATCCATAGAAGGAAGGTTGGGCAGTCTACTTCCGTAGTGATACCGCCTCAGAAACCCAAGGAGGAGTCGCTATGAGTCGGGGCCGACCTGATGGCACATAACAACAACAACAGCCAAGATTAAAAAGCCACACTCATGGACCAGACTATTACAGGCTACCTAGAATTAATATAAAATATAATAGTTGGGACTAAGTAATTAGAACACGCTTATCATTCATATTCAACTATACAAGCTTTTTTATAACTTGGAAAAGATAAAATTCAGAAAACAAAGAGATGTATTATATAGCTTTTTGCATCCATTGAAATATTTGCATTTATTCCTTGCTCTTCTCAAATAATGACACATTATATGAATCTGAAAATGACAATCTGAGTCTAAATTAAGTTTATTAAGTGTGACAAAATTTGGAAATGAACAGTGGTGATGGTTGCATAACATGGTGAGTAAAATTAATGTCACTGTATTGTACACATACAAATAGTTTAATGACAAATATTTTGTGACATCTATATCACCACAATAAAACATTCAATGGCCTATAGACAGGGGTGAAGTATTCAATAAGCAAGATAAATTGTTACTAATCTCCAACAATTTCACATGGGTGAAAAAGATGTATGAAAAACATGAAATTGTTCACTACTAGAATACTAAGTAAGTACAAGTAAATCTGCACTTATCTTGCTTACTGGGTCCTCAGTCCCTGTTAGGGATTATAAATTTGACAAGAGGCTTTGATTCTATAAGAAGGTGCTGTGGGGTTGAGAGAGAGACAGACACCAGAGGAAGAATCTTTCATGTGGTGAAAAAATGAACAATTGTTCACTACAGGTTAGTAAGTAAGCAAAAGTAAGTCCATGCTTACTTTGCTTATTGGTAATCTGACAATGCCTACAAAGTATATTAAATATTAATTCCCATCAACTCTATGCTAAGCTCAATAATTTTGTATATTCTCATTTCAAAACCTAAGAATTCCCAACCTTTGGGAGGGCTCAATGTTATTGCAATAAAGCCAACCATTAAAATGATCATTTATTAAAAAAAAAAAAAAAAAGATTACTTACTTAAAAGTTTCCTTTTATATTTTTAAGTGTCTTATCTCACTTTATTCCTACAAACTTATCAGATAGACACTATTACTTTGTTCATTTTTCACATGAAGACATTGAGTCACATCAAGGTTACATGACTTGTCTAAGCTCACATAGCAAAAAAGTATGGGAACCAAATTTTGATCCAGCCAATGTATCTTCACAACCCACATCCTGTAACTACTACATATGCTATTCACAATGTATGGACTAAATACCATTTGCAGATTTAAATATCTCTCAGCCATACATGTACATACACACACACTCACACACACTTAATTTTTTTGTTGTTTTTACATATTTCCTCAACCCATGAATGAAGAAAAATAAAGCTATTTTCTGGGGATTCTAATATTTTTAAATTTAGACCAGGCAGCCATCACATTTGAAATGTTAGTCTAAAGCATTGAACTAATTGGGCCATAAAATTTGTTTTGTTTCCCAGGTTGAAAAATGTGTGCTGGGTCCTAGGCCTAAGTTACTCATTTCAAACTTTGGTCAAAATTTCTGTCCTTTAATATTTATGGATGATAAAAAAACAAACAAATGAAAAAAGCATGAATGCCCTGGCATACATCTATCCTCCCTCTGTTTGCTACCAACAAGCTATCTATGCTACAATCTAGTAGTCTGGGTAGTATTTAGAAGAGGAGCCAAACAGCAAATGTTGACATAATCAAGGATGTACTAACCTTATAACTTCCTCTTGGTCCTTCTAGTGAATTTGGGGTCAGGTAACTTGATTGAAGGCTTAAGTCAGACAATTTCACCATGATATCTCTGTAGTTTCCCCTGTAACGTGCAGTAAATGGAATTGCAATGCATATTGGAAATGGAATTCTCTGTTCCCGATCTGAGAACTCAATAGTGATGACATTGCTGACCAACTCTTCGTTATCACTCACTATTAAAGAACTCATGCTATTAATTATTCGGCATTCTAGGTGTTGTAGAACATATGATGGTGCTGTAATATAGCAAGACACTTGGGGTTCAGTTTCACCACTCAGTACATCAAAAAACCTGCAGGGGGTTAAAGGGATACATTTTTTCAATTACTTGACTTAAGTACCATATCATTAAATAGTAAAGAGCACAAACTCCAGATCCACGTTGCCTTAGTGGGGATCTCAGTTGTCCCAACATACTTCCACTTATGGACTCTGTGACTTTGGGCAAGATATTGAACCTCTCAGTGTCATGGTTTCCTCAGCTGTAAAATGATGGTAAAACAATACCTGTCTCATAGGAAAGCCAAGTGAATTAAATGAATATGTTAACTATTTAGAAAGTAGTACATGGCACATAGTAGGTGTTATATATGTTAACCATTATTTGTGTTATTACTATTGTTATTGCTATTATTATTTAAGTGTTGTATTCATTCCTGTTTTGGTCACTCTACAACATGAATCTGCAAATTACTGAGGATTCTTGATAAACCAAGTGCCAATACCTGAATAGGAGCTCTGGTAGCGTAGTGCCTAAGGCATTTGACTGCTAACCAGAAGGCTGGTGGTACAAACCCACCAGCCACTCCTTGGAAAGAAGATTGGGCAATCTACTTCCATAGTGATACTGCCTCAGAAACCCAAGGAGGGGTTGCTGTGAGTTGGATCCAACTCACTGGCAGTGAGTTTAGTTTTAATTTTTTTTTTGGCCAATTTAAGATTAATCATAGTAACTAGAAACAGAATACTTATAATCCTCAAAAGATGTGTTCAAAAGCTTTATTTTGACCATTAGTTTTCTTCTTGACTTTACCATCACCTTTGCCCAAAAAACAAGCAAATAAACAAATAAATAAAGAGCTCTGGCAATACAGTGCCTAATCCATTTGACTGCTAACCAGAAGTTTGTCTGTTCAAACCCTCCAGTCACTCTAAGGAAGGAAGATGGAACAATCTACTTCTGTAAAGATTTACTCCCTTGGAAACCCAATTGGGGTAGCTAGGAATAAGAATCCACTTGATGGTAGTGGGTTTGGTTTCTTTAGAGTCTTTTAGATTTGAATTTGAATTTGAAAGCAGTCACTTACTCTTTGTTTGACTTTAGACATTAATGATTATTATTCAAATAACTAATATTTTAGCACTTGCTATGGCCCAGGTTTTACGCTAGACATTATTTCATTTAATTCTCACACATACAGTGTCAGGCAGGTACTATCATCACCAGTTTACAGATAAGGAAACTGACAGTAGGAAATTTAACTAAGAAACACACAGATGGTAAGTTGTAGAACCAATAATTGAATCCATCTATATTTAGAGCCAAACTTCAAATTCTCAAATATATTACACTTTCTTAAACATTGTAGATCACTGATTTCTTTATACATCACAAATTGAAACCAATAACTCATTCATAATAGTGTGATGACTAAATGAGATAAAACATTTAAATCTCTCATAATAATGGCTTTGCATAAGAGTGGTGCAAAATAAATGTTAGGTCTCAACATAGAAATTATCATCTTGAGTTTTTCCTCTTGTTACTTCTCATTCCTTACAACTGAAATGATTGAAATATAGACAATATTGATGAGAAACATAAGGCATAGCACTAATAACCAGTTTTAGAATAATAAGTTTTTAGCTGATTTTCAATCATTAGTAAATCGAATGTTATAGAGCACATGTCTTAAAAACCTCAAATATATGTTGAAAATGCAGAAAAGACCACCCATTTATATTTACAATTCTGAACTCAGAACATTAGAGGGAATAGAACATACCCAGCTTATTGCTCTGATTGAGTATTCTCTGATGATGGGGATAGTGACAAATATTGTTTAAAAGAAAGGATGCCGTGCCCAAACCTTACATATTTTCAAAGATGACTCTTCTGTGGTTACAAAACACCTGTGCCCTAGAAACCATCGCAAGTCCCTCTTCTTCCAAAAGGCGTGTTTCCCAACTGACAGATGAAGTAGGGCGAGGAGACCTGTAAATGGTTCCATTCTCCCTGGCCCAGATCAAATAGATCTAGTCCAGCCCCCAAAAATAATCGCATTGGTTTATTCTAGTCTTGTTTCCCGTTTGAGTATGTATACACTACAGTAAGAGTGATAGGCTTGTTTCAGAAAGCTACCCAGGGAGGAATCACAACAAATTCTGAGCAAGGTTTTGTTTATGACACACATCTTTTATGTGGTTTGATGGCTTCCTAGCCTGAAGGAGTGCAATAAGTAGTCATCTTCTTTAAGCCAAGCACAATTGCAAGCCAAGCACAATTGGTTTGAATGCCTCGAAGAGGAAATCAGTAACCAGGGAACACCTAAAGGAGGTGTTAGAAAGGAGTTGTTTCGGCAATGACTCATTAGCTGATGCTTTGAGTCATTTCTGAATGTGAGGAAACGAAGTATTATTGTTTTTCTCAAATGAAATGGGTAACCATATATTGTCTACTTTAGTTGTTGTTTTGCAAGGGCTATACTTTTCTCAGACCAGAAGGCCTTTCATGTGTTGAATGTATTCCTATGACATCCATAGAATTCTTTGGATTTTCAGACCTGTAGGAACATTCCAGCTAGCCTAACCCTTTCGTTTTATAGATGGAATCACCAAGGGCAAGGTAGGCAAAAATACTTGTCTTTGATCACAGACTCAGTTAGAGGTATTGTTCTGGAAATAGTATTCTACATCTGAAAGAGCATCACATATTAAGTCAGAGAAAGGGAGAGTGACTGATGGTAGTGAGTGGGAGTTGGGGAAAATGAGGGCTGTTGATGATGAAATAAACTAACATATCAACATTTAGCTGAGTGAGAACATCTGCAAAGTGGCATGGTGCGCAGCCTTTTACATGATTTCTTATTTATCAATTAATCCTAGGATATACATATTATATCTACAAAAGCAATGAGGCTAAGAAAGGAATCAAGTTGCCCAGGGCCACAGAATTGGTATGTACTAAAAAAGGAAATTAAATTTAAGTCTGCCTGGCTTCCAAAGACATTATTATTATTATTATTTTTTTTTTCACTATTCCTCATTACCTTCTAAGGGTATTATTTTGCCTAGAAAAATATGATTTGCAAATGTTTTATTTTATTTAAATAAATAGGGATTATTACATGCTTGTATGGGGAGGCACATAAAATAAATAAGTCTTTCTCACATTTTTGAAGTCATGGACTTTGAGAATTGAAGAAAGTTCTGAATCAACTCTAGGGAGATCAAATAGGCATGAACATATATATTCAATTTTAAGAGCCTCATAAAACTTATCCATGAGCCCCTGGAGTTCTACAGACACAGGTTAAGAGTTCATGACGGTTTGCTTGGGAATACAAATAAAATAAATCTGCGTATAGAAAATTCTCTCCTAATTTCACTCTGCAGCCTCTTAGTTTTATCTAATTATAATTGATAGAAGAGTGATTTAGAAAAGTTTCTATGTTCAGGATAATGATATATGATAACCACTCTCTTATTGAGTTAATTACATCCCACATTAAATAAACATTTCTTTGCTTCCTAAAACTATGAGGCAAGCAATATTAATAATAGCAGCCATATATATTTTTATGGAGTAGTTTAAACTGAATTATTGATTTACCATAATTTTTATAGATACGGAAGGGAAGTATAAAATTTTACCCAAGTATAAATGCTACGTGTACTAACTACAAAAACACATGTGTAAATATGCATATATAAGCACCTCTCTCATTGCATTTACTTACTCCTTTTCCATTGTGTTTTCCTTTTTGTTTGCACTCTCTGAATCATTGGGAAAAAGACTGTTCTCATATTTGTTGAAGCTATCATGTGCTTTCAAGGGTGTGGTAATTTCTCTTCGGCTTTCTGAGATCTCTTGAATTTCTTTTTCAGATGTCTGGGTTTTGTCATGAATCTCTTCTTTGTTGCCATTTATGGTCTCAGCAGTCATGTGATCCATTTGTTTATCATCTTTATTTTCTGCTTTATCTAGTAACATTTTGTTCTGTGACTCTTCTTGTCCTGTTACATTTCCATACAGTGATATGTTTTCTTTTTCCATTAATTCTGAACTCATCTGCGTTTTATTGTTTTTTAACTGGCCCCGGCTCATGTAATGACTCTCCTCCCCATTTGTGGGGAAAACTGTAGCTGCTTCACTGACATTTAGCTCCCCTCTTGCAGTAGTGTCAGTTGCTTTGATATCTTGAATGATGGACTTTGTCTGTAGTGGAGTACATTCATCATGCATGCCACATAAATTACACATCTCCTTTTCTGCTTTCTTTAAAAATGTAGCCGTGCTCCCCAAATATTCATTTATCTTCATGAGACAGTCTATGAAAGTAATGATTTCTACACACATATACACACAAAAAAAGAATAAATATAAAACCAAAACCAATTATATTTCTGTACTGACATGTAATGAGGTGTAGAAAGATAACCTTAAAAATCAAAAAAGATGTTTACCGAGCATTTAAGCCAGTTTTCTTCTTAAAGAAGTCATTTGTACAACTGTCACTCATTAGTGATGGTTCTAGGAATATAACACTTGTAGCAATGGGGAAAAAACTAGTTTTTAAGATAGTTGTTACTAGTTGCTGTGGAATTGATTCCAACTCGTGGTGACCTCATATAGGTAGAATAGAGCTGTTCCATAGGGTTTTGAAGGCTGTGACTTTTCAGAAGCAAAGGTCAGGGCTGTCTTCTGATGCATTTCTGGGTGAGTTTGAACCATCAACCATTTGGCTAATAGTCAAGCACTTAACCTTTTGTGCAACCCAGGGACTTCCTTTAGGATAGTAGCATAAGGTAAATCTAATTCCTCTTGCTCATAAAAGTGCTTTGAATATTTAAGGAATATTGAAGCCCTGGTGGTTAAATGCTCCGCTGCTAAACAAAAGGCCAGCAGTTAGAACCTACCAGCCACTCTACAGGAGAAAGATGTGGCAGTCTGATATTGTAGATTACAGCCTTGGAAACCCCAAGGTGCAGTTCTACTCTGTCTTGCAGGGTTGCTATGAGTTGGAATTGACTCAATGGCAACAGGTATGACTCTCCATAAGACTTTTCAATTGAAGTCAATAACCCCCTCAATCATTTCTCATTTGCTATGTTTTTTTTTTTTTTTTTTCTCCTTTGTCTGTGGTATGTTTTATCAAAGATTCAATTAAAATATTGGACCTAAAACTTAGCTAAACACTCCAGGTGAGGCTTAACTAGGAGAAATACCACAGCTACATAATTTCTGGGAGCTCTGGTAGCATAGTGCCTAAGGCACTTGACTGCTAACCAGAAAGCTGGTGGTTCAAACCCACCAGCCACTCCTCAGAAGGAAGCTGGGGCAATCTACTCCATAGGGATACTGCCTTGGAAACCCAAGGAGGGGTCGCTATGAGTTGGGTCTGAGTTGACAGCACATAACAACAACATTATTTCTAGACTATATTATACTGAGTGGTTTCTTAGCTGCTATGAAAATTGAATTTTGGTTTACACTATGCCTCCTGCTGAGCTTATCACATTAACAATTTTCAAATTAGCCTTCAAAAGCAGCTCTGATCATGCCAGTTCTCTGATCAGAACTTGCAGTGGCCATTCAAAGGCTCCTAAATCAAGTCAAGCCTCTGAACTCTGGTGTAAACTCTCTCTCTGTCTAATATAATCTCTCACTCCCAGTTCCATTATCTTATTTGTTCATCTCACCTCTCCATATCGCTGATTCCATCTGATGACCACTTGTTGGCTGAGCACCTCTCCAGGCCTTAAAATTCAATCTGAACTAAGGAATATGTGATTTAAGGCTCCATAGCTTAGTGTTTTTAGACTCATTGCCAAATCATCTTTTCTCTAGTCTGGACTTGTCTTTAAGCTTTAGTTCTGACAACTTGTTTTTATTTTGTTTTGGTTTTGTCTTATAACAGAACCCCTATCTTTATTTTTGAACTCCTATTCTGGTAGCTGGTAGCATAGTGGCTAAGA